GGCCCCCACTCTGAGTTAGGTGTGGCCCTGTCATTTCTACTTGCCAATAAAATAGGCAGGGATGTTAGGATCCATCCAGGGCATGATGTCCCCCTCCCCCTTCTCCCTCCATGGCAGTTGGGGGAGCATGCTGGTGACAAAGCCTCCATGTGCACTGAGCAGAGCCCCCTTCACAACACCCACACTGGACACAAAGTGAGCAAGAAATAAATATCCCCTGCAGTTGGGGATTTTTTGTTACCGCACCATAATGCAACCTATTCTGATTAATATAGATATATGGATGAAACGATGGATGGATGGATGAAAGAAAGGAAAGAAGGGAGGAATGGGGGAAGGCAGGGAGTAAGGGAAGGAGGGAACAAGTGGATATAACTGCTTGGGCATCTCTGGACTCTCTGGGAGACCTGCTTTAATGGGCCACTGCTCCCCTCCTTCCCTCCTTCCTTACCGCAGCCACCAGACTGTTTTCTGTGATGAAGGTCACGGCCAGCAGTGGCAGCGTTTCAGAGGCCAGAGTCGCGACTCTGAATGAGAGAGAGACGTCAGCCACACTAGCCCCCTCCCGCTCTATGCCTTGGTTGTTTTCCCCTTGGGTAGCTAGTACTCACGCCATCTTCTTGTCAGCATCGGCCAGACACACTGTGCTGTCGTGGCTGACCCAGGCCACGCGGCTGCCACTGGCTGAAAAACAGACACCGTGCACCCAGCCGCAGCTACTGCTAGACTCAAACATCAGCTCCCCAAAGGGCATCTTGGAACCCCATGGGGTGGGTGCTGGTCGCTCCTCCACTTCCTTTATGTAGGCTGAGAAGATCCTGCCCCCAGAGGGAAAAAAACCCCCAAAAAACAAGGGTCACTGGGGGTCTGAGAGGGGCTCCAACAAGAGACTCCCTTTCTCAAACCAGCCTGGTAAGGTCAGAGCAACTGGCTAGGAGCTCATGACCTGCACCTTAACACACAGTCCAGTCTGGGCCCCAGTGCCATCTTGGGGCAATGGAGTAGGGCCAGGAGGTCTCCAGCTGAGTCCTGTGAACTCCAGGGGCCCTTGGGGTCCTTACCTAAGGACTGACCGCCCATTGGTGACACACCACCAGGAGGCGTCCTTGTCCTTACCATGCTGGCCACTACTCCACAGCCAGCCCCTAGGATGCCCCGCCTCCCTCTTACTCTGCACCTTGAGCCAGTCCTGCCCCTTGTCCTGCCAGCTCTCCCCTGCACACTGCTACTCTCTCACATGTTCATTCTCTTCTCAGGAGCGTGAGGTCACCTGACAGATGAGGGAATCAACAAACCAGCTGTCTACTGACCAATGCGGCCTCATCAGGACATCATCCTCCCTGTGCCCGGAGTCTCCAAAGGGACCTCTGGAGCCTGCTGGAGCCTCATTTCCCAGGTGGAGATTCAGAGACCCAGGCCATCTGTCTGGAGCTGGGAGCTAGAGGCCTTGGGAGACTCAGGGCTGCTAAACCCAGAAATAAAAACCAGCCTATGGCTACTGGAGACTGTACATTCCAGACCTTAAGATAATGAGGCAGGGTTTGTCCCAGCTTATCAGTCATTTATTCCTTAGTGTGAAAAAGTACACCCACTCATTTCCCTCAGACAGATGCCAGGAAACTGAAGAGGTGAGAGTTTCTAATGAGGTAGGAGAGGAAGGCCTAGGAAAGGAACCTGCTGACATTAAGGTAGGAAGAGGCTAAGATTCTCTGTGCATTGGAGACAGGACTCAATGATGATCCTTAAAAGAGCAAAACCTCACAGATGCTCAGCTCAGGCCCCAGGTCACCCTGCTGGCAGCAGAGCTGGTCTACAGCTGGTCTGGAAGGCAGGGTGTGGGGCTCCCAGGATGGGGCTCCCTTCTACTCTCCAATCCCTGTCCCTGCATTGATGTCAGTGCCCCACCCTCTCACCGGCACTTGAAGTCACAGGAGCCTGCGGCCAGGAGCACGTTGTTGGGGTGCCAGTCCAGGCTGAGGACAGTGGAGCGAATGGGCTTCTTGATGTGCTTGCATACCCACCTGGATACAGCAGTTAAGACAGGTAGGGGGGAGAGAGGGACAGATAGGTGGGTAACCCACTGACCTCAAAGCCCGGGCCCTCAGTGCCTCAGGAACTCGAGGCTCCCACTGGGCCCTGCAGACCACTGAGGTCCCAGAAAAGAGAGGTCTGGGAATTGTCAGCCGGTGGGCCTGTCAGGGCCAGGTTCAGGCCAGTAAATGTGTGGGAACTCTATCCCTGGTCTCCTTTAAACCTCATGGCAACCCTGGGCAGGCTCAGCTGAGCTGCCAATTGGCTAGAGTGGGATTTGAACTTGGGCCTCCCAGACTCCAGCCTGAGCTCCTGCCTGCCTCAGGGGCTTACTATGCTCATCTGTGAAGTATGAACAACAACAGATGCCTAGTCCAGGGGACTGTGGGAAAATCAATGCAAATACGTGTGCAGTGCTTAATGCAATGACCACAGGGGTGGCCTGGTGTGGGTTGTCCCCTTGTAACTGAGACAGGGCTGTGGGAGCATCCAGTGGTGTGCAGAGCCCCTCATCTCACCTATGAGGTCCAGAGAGGTCACACTTCCCCAGGGGGTATGAATGGGGGGGGGGACAACAAACAACACCCCATCGGGTGCTTTCTGGGATCCTCTAGTCCCACCATCTGTTAGTCTGCAGCCCTGGGTACCTCCCAGCACACTCAGATCCCACCCAGGCACCCACCAGTCATTTTCCTGCTCGAAATAGCAGATGGAGATGACACGGGAGCCACTGCCCACAGCGAACTTGTTCTCGTTGGGGGCCCAGCGCACACAGCGAGCAGCCCGGTTGATCCGCAGGATGACGAGTGTGGGCTTCCATGTGCGGCCCTTCAGTGTCCACACATACGCATTGCGGTCTGTGCCGCAGGTCACGATGCGGTTACTCTCAGGGGCCCAGTCAATGCCTGTGGGGTGGGGAGGGGACACTAGGTTGAAGCCAACTAAGCAGAGGTGGATGACTCTACAGTGTTCATATAGGAGGGGCTCAGAGGTCACAATCTGAATGAAAGCTGCTCCACGGGGTTCTAGTAGAGCTTATTGGGGGTGTTACAGCTCCTACAACTATCACCAAACATGCTGGAAGGCCAAGTCAAGAGACAGAAAAGACATGGGTCCTTGGTAATGCTAAGCTGCTAGATCAAACCTTTCCTGAAGCCTATAAACTCTGAGTTTTACAGTAACACAAACCAACATAACTTTATAACTTAAGCCACTTTGAATCAGGGTTGTGTTACTAACTTACAACCCAAACTATCCTACCAACACAGTGAGTGGGTGGATGGCCTTGGTTGGCCATGTCAACCCACTGCCTCCTTTCAGGAGGGTGGTCCCAGTGAGCCTGACTCACCTGTCACTTGCCCATTGTGCTCCTTGAGCTCGTGCACCTTGACCCACTTGGCTCCACTCTTCTCATAGATGTGCACCTCATGGTTGTTGGGGCAGATGGCGATCTCTGAAGGAAAGATGACGGTGTGGGGAGTCAGAGGATGTATGCATACCCAAATTCCCTGCTGCCCTCACAACTCCCCTCTACCAGGAATACCCTTCACAGACCACCTGGGCAATACCTTGTCTTTTGAAACTTGGACTCCTCTGCCTCAGGGGGCCCCCTAAAGCCCCTCAGGCCCTGCAGGGCCCTTCTTGTGATATCTCCCCAGGGACTGGCCACCCCAGACGTCCCCACAACAGTCTCATGACTGGGAGCTTCTCCCAGTCTCCTACTACTGCCCTCTACTCTCAACTCCAGCCATGGTCTTTGCTGTTCCACCTCAGGGCCTCTGCACCTGCCCCTCCCTCCCCTCCTTTAGGTAGTGTACAAATGCCACCTCCTTTGAAAAGCCTTCCCAGGCCACCTTTTCTAAACCAGCACCTCTGCCTCTACTGCTTTCCCTTACCCTGTGTGTTGTTCTTCATAGCTCATCTCACTACCTGCCATTGCTGGTTATGTCTTCAGTTCTCACCCCCAGCTTGGGAGCCCCTGCACCTACAGCCCGCCTGCACCAGGTCCTGCTTGCACCTCTACCCCTCAATGCCCACCTGAATGGCTGCCCCTGCTTGTCCCAGAGCAGTTCATCCTTCCCTCCTAAACACCCAGGACCAGGGGTGAAAGAGGGGGACAGTTGGCCCTCACAGAGCTCACAGTCCAGGGTGCCTGGCTGCTTTAATGCCTACATGTGTTCTGGGGGACTCACGCGTGCGGTCCTTGTTCCAGGCGTGGCAGCTGATGGGCTCCACCAGGAAGCTGTGGTAGGCCATGGCTTCTCAGCTCCTGTGTGCAAGAGGGGGAGAACCTAAGTCAGCTCTGCCCCTGCCCCAGATCAGGCCCCACTGACCTCACGGGAGGGCAGTGGGGGCTACCCTGCCTCCCAGCTCTGACCTGGTACCCTGCTTCTCTCTTTGGGCTTCAGTTTCCCTTGTAAAATGACAGCTCTAATGGGATGTCTTTGAGGCTCCAGAGAACAAAAAAAAGATGGGGTGGGGAGTGGGGGTTACGGGAGTGTTGGTGAAGCTGCTACTGTGAGTGGGGTGTGCTGGGACCCTGTGCCAAGCAGGTCATCATCCATCATCTGTGCCTCAGTTTTCTCATAGATAGAGCTTGCCACCAGAACAAGGTGAGAGTGAAAGGAAATGGGGTGAAGATGAAATGGAACAAAACTGAGAGTAGCCCGGCCGGAGTGGCTCAGCGGTTGAGCATCGACCTAGGATCCAGGAGATCTAGATTTGATTCCCGGTCAGGGCACATGCCTGGGTTGCAGTCTCCATCTCCAGTAGGGGGCGTGCAGGAGGCAGCCAGTCATGACTCATCATTGATATTTCTGTCTCTCTCCCTCTCCCTTCCTCTTTCTGAAATCAATAAAGACATTAAAAAATTAAAAACAAAACATCA